CAGAGGAAACACTGGACTTTCCTTTACCAAAGGAAAGGAGAAATACCTTCCCATAATTCCTTGCTGCAGCAGCATTTAAAGTGATGCACCATCGTAGTTTCACCACGACGGACCCACACACATGTAGAAACAACAGAGCAGCTGTTTTATATTTGTGACACGATCCAGAACTGATGGAACTCCTTGTCTGATTGACTGACTCTTTAAATCCAGTCAGGAGTCATCATGAAGAATAAGCAGATTGAATTTATAGTTAACAGTATCATCATCATAACAAAATACAATATTCTATACATAAATGTTGTTTCACTAAATCCCCTGCCATTGTGTTAAGCACTAAAAATGAATTTTCTCTACTTTTCTCTACTATACTCTTCTCTTTACAAATGTAAAAAGTGCAGGAAACTATAAACTTATGTCTGAATTTTATTTATTCTGATCTCTTGCTCAGCTCCCTATCTCTATTTAATTATTATTTTAATGGTTCAACTTTCTCTGTTGTATTTTCCTTTCATGTCATCTTATTTCAACATTTCAATCCTGTTTGTTTTGTTTTCCGTAGTTAGGAAAGGAGAATTAATCGTCCAGATGTTATCAATAAAGTAAACAGAAGATTAGTTTAAGTGCAGTCAGAATCTTTTCCAAAGTCCTTATGAATTCTCCTTCACATCCTTCCCTCATATCATGATGTTTTCCATCGAGGTCGTGCCATCTAGCAGCCAAACCTACTAATGGCAGCAGCGCCGCTGGCACATAGTCGAACAGACCGGTTGCCACATTAATTACCGCACTCACCGACGTTACGTGGCAACTCCAAACAAGACATGACAGAAATAACATTAACCAAACACTAGATAACCTGAACTCAGTGAGGTCAACTCTGAAAAAGTCTGCTGAGGTGAAACCACAATCATTTGTCGTTTTAAATGTTCCTGCATTAAGGAATTATGGGAAGGTATTTCTCCTTTCCCTTGGTAAAGGAAGGTCCAGTGTTTCCTCTGCTAAAGGAGATAAGATAGGAAGCATTGAACCTCCTTTCCTCAGCTCTTATCATGGCTTCTGCTCAGATTCGTCAGCTCACTCAGTTTGAACCTTCATGAGAAAAGAGTTTTTCGACTGCATTCTCTGACTGTGTCCAATTCAACCAGAGCGACCCTCTACCTGAGAAGGTGAAACTGTTCAGTTTCACAACAGGAAAACAAACATCAGACAAAATTTAACATTGTCTTATTTCCCATGAGTATTGTGAGTCCTTATGTCTAGTCCAGAGGCCTGCACTACAAAGCAAGTTCAACATACCCAGGATAACTTAGTTATCTGGGTTAACTGAACCTAACATTGTCCCTCCTGGACAACCTGTACTACGAAGCTGGTTGCCAACTGGCTCAGTTAACCCTGGGTTTACCTGGCCGAGGTACCTGTTACGAGCGCGTTCCTGTGAAAGAGGCGGAGTTTTTAATTATAAGCAACAACGTCTGAACCATGAATGAAGTTCTTAATATATGAGAAGAAACGCTGATACTTCCAGGTAAGTTCGGTTATAACCACGTTCACAAGTGATATTCAACAAGGTGAAATGAAAATATGATCACATGACTGGAATAAAAAATAGTATTTCCATGTCTAAATATAATTTCTATTAAAGAAAACTTACGAACGTGATGCAGAGAAAACATCTAAAGTTAATGTCAGACTTTCTGCTGCAGAGAGGAGAGAAAGAAAAAAGGAGAGAAGTAGTTGATGTCTGATGAGTCAGCCCGTATGAAATGTTCATTTATAATCATGGAAATAATTTTTGTTTTGATCTGATCCTCTAAATTAACCTGCGCTAGAGCGGGTTAGGAGTTCAGGATCAGTTACAATGGTGATTTACCCCGGTAACAAGTGAACCACGACTTAGGACTGAGAGCAGTTTTTAATGATGACATCATGATAATGAAATGATTGATCACCGTGGCTCTGTCCTCATCCTGCTCATCAAACGATAAATGACATGATGGCATTGTGGGCATGGCCTCTGTGACATCATCACTCTGTGTTGCAGTGATGTATCCAGTCTGGAGGAGGAGCTCAGGAAGGTGACGGCCGCTCTGGTCGACGAGTTCCTGGAGCCTGAGAAAAACCACCTGATTCGTCGCTTCATTTAACCCTGCTTCCTTGTACCTTGTCCCTCCTGTGTTGTCATATCCTCTTTGTAGACAAATCGGAGCAGCAACTGCTTCATTCTGTGTCAGTTAGGTTCGTGTCGGACTGAAGACGTTTGATGTTGGAGACTGAAAAATCAATATATTAGAAAAAAGAAAATGTATTCATTTCAATTGATTATTAATTATTTTTGTCATTAATATTACAAACCAGGGTTTTCAGTTTTAACAAGAAACTTTTGTTATTTTAAAATTTATCTTGTAACGTCAAGAAGTATTCTGTTATTTATTCAAAATAAACATTGTTATACAATAATAAGTTGGTTTGTTGTACAGAGATAGTTATTCTGATTTTGTGTAACAACAATAATATTTACTGATACAACAACACGAGGTGATGTCGTAACAAAAGTTATACAGACAATAATTTGGTTTGCTAGAAAAATAAACTTAAAACCATTTCATGATATAAGAAACAGACCATATATTTTTTCTTCATGTTTTTTAAAATATTTTTCCCTGTTATTCCAGATTCAGACTTGAGTAAAAATCTTGATTGTTTTTCTGGATGTTGGTTCATAGAAAAGTGAGTTAGTTTTTCCAAAAAAAAGATTTTTCTTTCCTTCAGTGTGCTCATTGAAGTTGAACTGAAGAAATAACCAAAAAATAAAATAAGATCCAACAAACAAACTGAGAACCAAACAGTTTGTAACACAGAAAAGGTGAATATCAAGCGTGAATCATATTCATGAATATTTATATTCATAAAACCTCGTCTCACAGCAACTGAACTGATTCTAAACTGATCTAAAATCTCAACAAGATTTTATTGAAATATTAGAATTTATCCAATGAGTTCTCGGACCTCTGATTTCAGCCCAACATCAGCCGCACAGCAAGAGAGTCTGCAGTTCTCTGATTGGATGATTCTACAGCAGTGCACACTGGGAGTTGTAGTTGACATCGCTCTAAAGTTGTTACCAAAACTTAGTCATTGAGGTTATTACTGAAACAGAGATGATAAACTGTTTGGGTGTTGGACTGAAATGACATTTGAAACTGTGACATTATTGTTCTTGTTTTCTGGTATTTTATAGACCAAACAATAAATTAATGAATCAAAAAAATAATGGACTGATTAATCAAAAATCAAAACAGGTGTGAGCAGTGTCTGATGTTCCAGTCATGTTTTTTGTTTTTGTTTTTTGTCATTAAAGAACTTCCATACATGTGTGAGAGGGGGAATCAGCTCTTCATCTGTTTCCTTGTGTTGTTGATGTTTATCTGAGTCTGTGGCAATATTTATTTCTATACTCATTGAGATAAAAGATATTTATGTTGTACAGACAACGTGTTACATGTTGTGATGCAGTGTTCCATGTAGAGTCTGATATTTTGTTAAAGAAGCTGAAGCTGCCAATCATCTGTGGAACGCTTGAATCTGTTCAGTTTGGTCTGGTGAACAGACGACAGAGTGAGACCTCTGTAGAGCTCACTGATCATTTGTGTTTTCACTGTTGCAGCTTCAGTCATATAAAAAAACAGAAATGCTGTTCATGTGGTTCTCTAATGATCTACCAATAAATCAAACAAAACTCTAAAATGTCTTTTGTTCATTTGTTATTGGCGAAAAGTTTTTCAGCAGGAAAAGCAACCAGAATAAAAACAAGTCAGATCAGCTGAACACAGTGAAACCTTTGTTGTTTTCTCAACAACTTATTTCTGGTCCAGTTTTACATGAATTTTTCAGTATTTTTTTTTTTTCTTATAAAATTACACATTTTTTCCTGATAAAACTGACTTTACTCTTTACGACTTTTAATATTATATGACTCGTAACATTATGATTTGGAACTGTCTTTATTCTTAAATCATTTTCTCATCAGTAATGTTTATAACGTAATTCTCTCAGTTTTGCTACAACTTCTGTCACATAATTACATCTGACATGTTCAGATGAATGAACAGATATTTTTTCACAATATTGTGACACTATTCTTCTTATATTTTTTATTTGAGAAATTACAAGAACTTCCCAAAAAGTAAGAAATATATTTTAAAAATATTTATAAATGGCAACAACACCGTTAAAGAATTACTAGTTTAGTAAGTAAGTAGTTTTAAAAGTAGATGGAAATTGGTTTAATAATAAATGGATATTTGTGATTGAAAAATCTTCAACTGAAAACAAGTAAAAACACATTGAAAATAGGCTGCAGGTTTACATTATGTCATTATGTCACCATGAGGTGGAGACAACAAGTTTATACTAGAAGTTACATTTAAAGTGAGATTAAAAATAATACTGTTTGTATTTCAGTGGGTGGATGAACAGAATTTATTCATTATTAATCACATTTTACTAATTCATTATGTATTTACTATTTGTTTACTACTGCTGGTTGTCAGTTTCCTGTAATAAGTCACAGGTGGTCATGTTTTCATTCTGAACAATTTACAATATACTGAATATCTTTAATATCTTTAATAACTGTTGGTCCAAGATGATACAAAGGTACTGACAAACTGATTAATATGTGTACAATGAAATAATAGAAAGAGTTCAAACCAAATATTCTCACCAAGTTATTAAAACAGTTTCATAGCTCTTGATAATTTCATTTATTTTACTTCCTGAACATAAACAGATCTACAATTCTTTTATTGTGAAAAAAATAGATTTGACTTCGTTCACTCAGGTTAATGTTGCTTAAATGTTAAGACATGAGTTTTCAAAGCCTGAATGAACACTGTACTGTTGATGTGAGAATAACCTGAGTCAGTGTCACAGTAAAACCAGGACAGGTCTGATGCTGTACTCTGGGTCTGTTGTGTGTCTGAATGGGATTTAGTTTGTCATGAATGTGGTTTTACGGCCTCTGATTTGTGGCTGAAATTCTGGAGGATCCTGGACCTGATCTGCTGCAGGTTGATGCCATAGATGATGGGGTTTATGAGCGGCGGGACCACCAGGAACTCTGCCGCCAGCATGTTCTGCAGCGCCTGCAGCGCGCTGCTGCTGCCGTAGCGGGAGTACATGGAGTCAAACACCAGAGAGATGGTGAAGACGAGGAGCGTGACGAGGTGCGGCAAACACGTCTGAACAAACTTTCTGCGGTCAGAGCGCGACCGGAGCGAGGAGCGGACCAGGTGCACATAGGAGACCACGATGAGTCCGGTCTGCGACACGTGTGAGAACATGAGCACGAAGCCGTAGATGTTGTTGACGGTAGTGTCGGAGCAGGACAGCTTCACCACCTCCCAGTTGGTGCAGAAGAGCTTGCGGACGTGGTGGCCGCAGAGCGGCAGCGTGGCGGTGAAGCTGACGCCCACCACGGTCTCCAGCAGCGAGAAGCCCCAGGTGAGCAGCAGCAGCTGCGCCACCCTCTGCGCCGTCATCACAGCGCGGTACTGCAGCGGCCTGCAGATGGCCATGTAGCGGTCGTAGGCCATTACGGTCAGACTGGTGAACTCACAGAACACATAACTGTAGACTACAAATATCTGCGTTAAGCAGCCGGTGTACGTGATGACGTGGGAGTCGGCCAGGAGGTCATGGAGCAGCTTCGGGTAGAAGCTGGACGCGCCGCAGATGCCGTTCACACACAGGTTACATAGGAACAGGTAGATGGGCTCGTGCAGCGTCTTCTCCAGACACACGGTGACGATGAGCGTCACGTTCACGAAGATGGTGAACAGGTAGGACACGAGTGCGAGGGCGAAGTAGATCTGACGGTTAGTGTCAGAGTCGTTCAGACCCTGAAGCACAAACACGATCTCAGAGTTATTCTCCATCAGGTCTGAGTCCAAAGTCTCAAGTCCAGAATTTCAAGTCCAAAATCAGAGTCCAGAGTCTAAAGTCCAGAGTCAGTGTCCAGAGTCTAGTGTCCAGAATCAGAGGGTTTGACAGAGACTGCTTCTTCAACAGACTTACAGACTCACTCAGGTTATAAAGAGAGGAAGAGAAGCTCAGGCTGAACAACAGGAGACGCCTCAGACAGTCCTCACATGTGGAACAACATCCATTAACAGTGTTTTCTGTTTCAGATCAGATCAGTGACAAAAAGCACTTGAACTTTTCTAACATCAGTGTCTTCAGCTGCTTTTACAGGTTCCCTCTGTAAACAGCTGTAGAACAACACCAAGATCTCCTCCTGTTCCCTCCCTCAAACACATCAGCTGAACACAGGGAGGTTTTTATCATCAGAAAGCTGCACAGAGTCAAACTAACAACACGAGCAGGAACAGACAGGAGCTGCTCAACAAACAAACACCTCTGATCTTTGCTGTGAATTGAAAAGGAAACACGAGTGATTAGAGCTTCACACTGAAACCTCTGATTCACTCACAGTAAACCACAGTCATCACAGCTGAGTGAACGTTTCCTGTAAAACAAGTCACATGAAAAACATCAGCTGAGCTTCATCTTCTCTGTGTGAAGAAACAGATGGACATGATGATGATGATGATGATGAAAGACAGAGAAGTTTCATCATGTTCATAAACAGCTGAGTTGCTTCAACCTCATCATCATCACCACTTTGGACAGTCAGTGTGACAGCATGGAGACAGACATGAGGCCAGTGGAGTGGAGGAGGCTGTAGAGGTAACCACACCACAACACATGAGAGAGCGCTTCACTGTCAGCAGCTGGAGGCCTGGACAGATTTACCTGTGCTCAGTCTCTGCCGCAGCAGCTGAAAATCGTTCAGAGCTGCTGGGAAACAGACTGGACGGGCAGCAGCTCTTATACACCTCCACTGTAGACAGACAGGTAGAGAGCCAGGTCTGATGACATCACAGAGCAGGCTGAGGCCACGCCCCCCCTCCCCCCCAAACCACTTGACGAACATGTCAGACGATAATATCAAAAGACTCAGGAGCTGCGTTTCACTGCAGAGACCCTCATCAGGGGTTTCTGTCATCATCATCATCATCATCATCATCATCACAATCATCTCAATGTTTTCTCTTCAACAACTCACATCTGATCTTTAAAGGCAGTAATAGTGATGATAAAGAGTTCAGTAACAACATACACTGTGCTTCAGTGATGCATAATCTGAAGTATGTTCAGTATTAGTTTCAGTCTGACCCTGTAGTACAGATAGATGTATGTATGTATGTACAGATGGATCATTTGTCCATTGATCTGTCTTTATCACTCAATTTTCATTCTTTGACAGAAATTCAAACACATTTCTTTTTTTCCAGAGATTTCTTTCTGTTTAGATTTTGTCTTGTTTTCATTAAAGCTGTTGATCATTGTTATGCCATAGTTAGTTTCTCTGTTTAAAGTTACACTGATATTAGAGAAGCTGAGAGCAAGTATCTTCACAGAACAAAGGATCTGGATGTTTCACTCACAGAAACAGGTTTGCATGCAAAGGTTCTGGTCCGGCTCTGGGTCATGGCCCATCTGTGAAGAGGTTCCAGTTCCAGGAGTCCCTGAAATGGTTCCAGAGATCTCTGTGGAGCTTCTCAGAGGAGCCAAGTTAGCTGAGGTGATACCAAAAAAAGCACCAGGCATCAGGTTCTGTCCATAACTTCTGCTTGATGGAAGACCTAGAAAGTGGAGGCGAGTAGAGTTGAGTAGAGCTGCTACTGTGCAATAGAGAAGGGCTGTATCCTGGATTTCAAGGATCCTTGAGAATGCTCCAGGAGTCTTTGAGGAGGTTCTAGGAGGCCATTAGAAAGTTTTATGGGTTCTAGGGGTTGTTCCCTAGATATTCTAGTTGTGCTTGGTGAGAGTCCAATGTTTACTGAATGTGTGGGGAAATATGAGGACATGAAGCTGAACCAGGCGTAGTATTGATTTTCTATTTGCACTATTAAAGGATCTGATCTATGAAGAGTGTAGTCCTTTAACAGACTGTATATCTTCTCTTGTTCCATCATGCAACACTCAAAAGAAATGGAGCACCCCTATTATTATTATTTTTAAGTAATTTTATTTTTCCTTTGTCCTTTATTTTGATAGGTGCAGTGAGAAAGAGACAGGAAAGTCAGGAAGAGAGAGATGGGATGACATCCAGCAAAGGGCCGTGGGTCGGACTCAAACGAACGGCTGCTGCATTAGGACTAAACCCATGTGGAACGTGCTGTATGTGGTAACCTAGAGCCCACAGAATTGGTACCTTTATGAGGCAAAGACATACCCCTAAATTCAGAGACAAAATCATTTAGATTTAATGACCAATTTTTATTTAAAAAAAACTGACAATTAGTTTACATCTTTTAAAAAATTCAACATTTTATATGTGAACTAATCCATTTTCAGTGCATTTCAATGTATTGTTCTGATAGAACTGATTTGTCCTTAAAACAAGTTCTGTATCGTGTCGAGACTATCTCTCCACCCTACATATTCCATGTGTATGGGGACCGACCCCCGCAAGGGCAGCTGACATGGATACACATCACCTGTGGTGGGCATGCACTGATTAGCAACACGTGGTTATATAAGCACCACGCATGCATGGCCTCTTTGATTCATTGATTTCCATGGAGTCAAGCAGTCGTGTGTATCTTGACATTTGAGTAGAAGAAAGTGAATGTAGTGTTTGTGTTTGACATCAGCGAGGTTGCAGCCATCGAGAAAGGGTTTGCAATGCCCTCCCCTGTGTTAGCCCCATTTACTGCACAGCAGCCCTCCTCTGCCCAGGTGAGGCAGGAGGAACTTGATCTAGTGCATTCCATATCTGATGCATCAGATGTAAGGGAGATTGACATCATGGAGTTTGACCTGTGTGTGTGGAGGCAAAGCAGGTAGAGGAGGAGCAGGAGCAACCACCTCCCCTCTATTGCCAACTCATTACTGTGAAATGCCAGCTGTGATAGGCCAGGCAGCCTCCCGTTTTGATGATGAGGTGAGTCAGTCACGGCCTTTCTCTGTACCGCTGCTACCCGATTTAGAGGAACTGGTACTGAAGCAGTTTGATAAACTGTCTGAGGCCCATCGCTGCTCAGGTCTATGTAGACAACTAGCATGTGTGCAAGGTCAGGAGAGGATTAGCTTAGGACCACCACCTCTCATGGATCAGGCCTTAGGGGCCTTGGTGTCCCCCACCAAGTCTTTCTTGGGGAAGCTGAGATGCCCAAGCAGGAACACTAAAATGATGGATGCCATGCTTGCCAGAATGCATGGATCTATGGCAATTCAGGGACAGCCGGTTAATACAGGGGCTATTTTCATTGATACTCTCTTGGCGAAGAAGGTCATCAGTGAGGTAACACAGGACAATCAGCAGGCTGGGTTCTATTCCCATTTTTTTTCTCATTTCCAAAAAAGATGGGAGGCTGAGACCAATTTTGGATTTGAGAGAGCTCAACAAGCTTTTGAGACCCCTACGATGCAAGATGTTGACCGAGCTGAGGCCTATGCCTCCACAGGAGGAAGAGCAGGCTTCAGCCCTCAAAGACCACAGAGTTCCTAGGCATGTGTTTGGATGTCAAGGCAGGAACTCTTTCTCTTACATCTGGAAGACAGGCCACCCTTAGGGCTTGCTTGTCCAATTTCCATTTGCGAGCACAAGGCAATGCACAGGGGTCAGTGTTGCATCACCAGGTGGTGTCATCCAACGCCCCCCTAGTAGGCTGAGGAGCCGTCAATGAGGCATCAGTGGCCAGTGGGACCCGTGCCACTGGTTGGCACAGTACATCAATCTTCTGGAGCTTCAGGCTACCTACCTAGCTCTTCTGCACTTCCAACCAGATGCTGGTGAGGACTGACAGTACAGTGGCAGCAGCCTATGTAGGGGAAAAAGGGGTCTAGGCTCCCCTTGCTTTTGCAGATTGGCTCGGATGATATGGCAGTAGGCAAACCCACACTTTGAGTCCCTGAAAGTGATACGTGCCGGGTCAGACGAACCTTGCAGCCGATCAGCTCTCCAGGGGTGGGCCTCTCCCCTGAGAATGGGGCTGAATCCAGAGGCTGTACACCAGATCTGCGACCGCTTTGGTACTGCCATAGCCAATCTCTTTCTCAACAGCAGCAGGAGGAACCTCCCAGTTCAACGTACTTTTGCTGCACCTAAAAGTCTCCAACGTAGAATATTAATTAACTAAAAATGTTTTTAACTCAATGTATAGCAATATGTGAAGTGCCCTTTTGTCTTGCTTGCCTGCTGGAATGCAGTTGTCTATTAGTACATTTTGAGTAAAAACAAGTAAAGCTTGACCAGCTCAGTATGTTATTTCAAAGTTGTCCTTGCTTAAATATCCCCTCTAGACATGTTTTAAAATGATATAAAATACTCTACTTTGAAAAGTTAAATTAACTTGACAAAAATCTACTCTTCTGTCATTAAAAAATTCCAGAATCTATAAATATGCAAATATTCTGTAATATCAAAGGTTTTCCTGCTGAACACAAGACGTCTCCTTCACTGTAAAGTCCAGTCTTAGTGAACATGCTCTTGAGGCTTCAAGTTTCCACATCACACGTCTGTAAGTTGAATATTGCCTCCAACCTGTTTGTGATGTTACAAATCAAGCTTATAGGACCTACCTTAACAATCAGATTTTCAATGAGCACAGAGAAACTTCTACTTTCTGCAGATTAATGTAAAAACAGCCTTCAAGTGTCAAAATCTGCACATACATCATTCTGCACAGTGAAGCTACAACATGCAACTGTGGGAACAAAGAGAAAAACACATTTTGCATTTTTAAATGAAAACATTTAACGCCTCCTAGTACAAAATCTACACTTGGCTTGAGTATTCTCAAAGCCAGGATAATGCATATTGTTTTGTATGCCGGCATTTTTCACTCCCATCTGCTCCTGAGACGAC